ATGAGCTGCAGGAGTCATAAGGGTTTTTTAATGATCAGGAGCTTTTTGGTAGCTAGTGATGTTTCTGTTTCTGCATGATTTAATTTGAAAACCCAAAGGTAAGCCTTATTTTATGTGGAAATAAAACCTAATATATGGACGAGCACAAATACTGTAAATCTTAGATGGCCAAAGCTGAATTTCAGTGGCTGCAAAATATAGTACCTGCAGTACCCCATCAAACAAGCCTGAATGTTTTCCATGGAGCAGAGCAGCATATGGCACAGCCCCAGAGGGAACTGCATCTGTTCCCATGTCCTTGCATGTGCTTTCAGAAGCCATTCTGGTGGAGTTTTCAAACCACTATGGACCGCATAGTTATACTGGTGACTAAGGTCCTGGGAGGAGAATTGATCCAGAGATATTCTGCTGTAGGTTGAGTTGTTCTATATTGTGTTATACATCTGACAGTGATGGACACAGGTGTCAATGAGAACAGATTCTAATCCCATTGATAGAATGATTCTTCAATAGGAAAGGGCACCCAACTCATCCTTAGAAACTGAGGAAATGGTAGCTAAAGAGAGAATCTTGGTTAGAGTTATTTTGCTGTTTTCTTTTTATTTTAACAAACATCCCTGCTGTTGCATATGGAAGTGTCATAAGCAGATGACTATTACTCAAATATAAACAAACTGTAATTTGTTTTGTTTCATACAGTGGTCACTGAATGCTGCTGGCAAAGACAGCAAATTTTTGCTTGAATTGTTAAGTGTGTTTTAGCTGTGCTGCCATTTTTGGTGTCAATATTCTAGCATATGGCGTGTTTGCTGAACAGGGAGTAGGAAATACAAACTGCAGAATATTTGCAGAAAACTAATTCTGAGTTTGTAATAATCCTATTCTCTGAAGCCTGGTTTTAGCAATCATGGTCGTCTGGTCTACAAATGAGAACCTGCTGTGGGGTCTGCATGTCTGATGAGAAAAGCTCAGGTTTCCAAGTACTGCCTCTGTCAATAAACTTTATGCAGATGGGTGACAGGCCACGACTTATTTATAAAAAAAGATTTGTTAAATAACGAATCCCTTTCAGAAATTATTTGTTCTTAGGAACGGGGTTCCTGTAATGAATAATTATTTATAAAATTCCCATCCCATCCCAACCGTTCAATAGCCGAATCACCAGCAATAAACCTCGAAGGAGCGTCTCTCATCTCGCTCAGATGCCTGTACCAAACACCACTAGATGTCAGCACCGCACTGCCTGCACGGTTGCTAAATCCAACCTCTCTGTAAATAGCGTGTAAGAAGGAGTGATCCTTCTACAGTTTTTATAATCTCTTTTCCGTTACCAATCTACATATTAACCAGGTGGCACCTAATGAGAACAAAATTACCCGGCCTTCAAGGTCATCTTTATATGCATTTCCTGATGTCTGTAGCTGCACATTTGAAAGTCTTTTTCCTTTTGGAGTTGGGAGAAAGGAAGTTGCACAGTTTCCCTCACAAACTGTTATTTTCCAAACAGCAGTAACCACCAGAAATGTGGCAGGAGGTAGACTGATGCTTTTAGACAAACGATTTTAACAAGATTGATGAGGCAGTTCTGATCTGGGGCTAGAGTATTTTTGTGTACTGGAAACAGTAAAAGAGAGAAAGCACATTGGGGTGGATCCTGAGCTGGGGAAATTGCTTGAGCTTCACTGGACACGCGACACATCTGCTCCGTGACAGGGAGAGCAAAGGGTTGCATAACCTGTGGTTCACAGTCTGCAGCAAGTTTGTTTTCTCTGCAGGAGTATGACCATTAGGGAAAAATTGCTTCAGGATGCTTCAAATTGCACAGTAGAAGAAATGAAAACACAGACCACATTCCCTCCCCTGTGCAACCTTTTCCTCTGACATGCTCTAATTTAAACATATAAAATGGAATGACTAGTTACCCTGTCTTATGTTGTTTATTTTCAGTGCAAGGACAAATATGTTAGAGTGATTCCCAGAGAACAGAATGAGGAACTGTTGTTGACAAATGCAGGCAAGTGCATGGTTATCACTG